AATATATTAATTATATATAAAATTAAGAAACTGGTTTGAAAGTTGGTTAGGATATGTAATATGAAATATTTAATTTAATTTAATTTAATTTAATTAGTCTACTAAACCCACTAAATTTCATGACTTCAACTCCCAACCTCATGTTGGGTAGGCAACATATATTCCAAAGGACCCATATACTTGCTTGCCTTTTTTTAAAGATTTAATATTTTATTTATGCTTTAAAAACTAGTTTAATATTTCTTTAAGAATTAAATATTTATTTAATTATATATCACATTGTTTATTTTTTAAATGATACTCGAAAACAAGAACATATGTATAGAGTTTTCATTAGATTATCTGATTCCTTCGTTAGAAAACTGGATTCGTGGTAATAATTACTCTGATAAAATTTTGAGTCGTGTAGCGTGAAAACTCTCCAAATACAACAATTTGACAATTCAAACATAAGGTTATACGAAATATGTAATGGGATAATCTACAATCTCACTTTCGTTTCTGGACAAAAATACTCGAGTGTACAACAAGATTGGTTTTAATCGTCTTTATATCAAACGAGACAAAAATTACCTCTATATGGGTAGTTATTATAGTGGTTAGAGACTGTTGTAAAGCAGTTACACTACCAACTTCATCGGTAGCATAATGCACCAATCGAATACATCAGTTGATGCTCGTGCCAGTAAGCAACAATTGATGTTGTCGATAATGTGTATCAACAGATTGCGGCCGTAAGCACCTTAAGATGAAGGTTATGGTCATTAGCTAATGTAATCGCTGATGCTCATTCACTGCTAGTGATGTATAAACTGATTATGAAAAAATTGAATGGCAGTAACTCATGCATCGGGTTAGTGGCATTGATCTACACGTCGCGGGGGGGCTATACCCACAAGGGGCGCTCCACCCTTGACCCCTATGTATGAAAATTTAAGATTCAATAAGGCATATGTAAGACCACACTTCGTAATTCGCACCATAAATAAATCTTCATCTGTCTCAAATTCATCTAAATTACATGAAAATGTTTGATGACATAAAAATCACCAGCATCCTTTGACGATTTGTAAAATCCGGTAACTTATTTGAAACTTTTATTTAAATCAATGCTCCTGTATGTTTTAATTAAAAAGTATAATTGAAAATTTTGAGACAAGTTTTGAAGATAATCTAAAGCAAAAATAATATAGATAATGGCTTATTCAATAAGCTTATAAAGGGGAGTTTTATACAGAAAAAGTCAAGTTCTTTTGCTAAACCTGCCCGTCTTAATTAAAAACGCGCTAACTATATCTATGAACCCCCTAAACAAAAACATTTTCAGTCTATACAGATAAATTAATCCATACAAATAGTTTTATCTATTAAAAACTTCATGAAAAATCAACCAAACAACCTCTAAGTAATGTTTGTCTTGATAATGAAAACTACTATTTTAACCTTGGAAGCAATTGTTTTAACAAGACACTTGTTTGATTATATCAAGTAATTAAATTAAATTTAAAATAAGCAAGCTCGATCGCTTTCTGGTAACTTCTAACTTTTTCTCTATTTGGAAAGATCCTTTCGTGCAGGTCTTACATAGATCTATTTCAGATCACTGCCCTATTCTTTTGAAAGTAAATGACTTTAATATAGGGCCCAAACAGTTTAGAGTTTTTGACTCATGGTTGGGTATCGATGACTTTTAAAAATTGGTCATCTCTTCTTGGTCTTCAAGCTCTTTCTATAGGGCTGCTGATTTTGTCTTAAAGGAGAAGGTTAAAGCTCTTAAGAAAGACTTGAGAATTTGGTCAAAAAAAATTTTAGCCAGCGAATCAAAAAGAAAAGATGAGATTTTTAATGCCTTGGTCGATTGGGATTCTAAAGCTGAAAAGGGGGGGTATTTCAGTAGCCGACTGCCAAAAAAGAGATGACTGGATTTTTGAACTGATGTTTTTGGAAAATCGTGCAAAGTTGGATCTCAATCAAAAATCACGTTCTAAATGGGCTTTAGAAGGGGATGAAAATACCAAGTTTTTTCATAATGTTGTTAATAATCGTCGGAGAAGGAATAAAATTAAAGGAATTATTTGCAACGGGGTTTGGAACTCTAATCCTTTGGTCGTCAAAAATGCTTTCTTAAAGCACTTTGCTGACAGATTCAAAGAACCTTGCTCCTCTAGACCAAAGTTCATCAGCCCTCTCTTCTCTAAATTATCGTTTAATGATGTCGCTTTTCTTGAATCGCCTTTTTCTGCTTTGGAAATAAAGGAGGCTGCTTGGTCTTGTAATGGGTCGAAAGCTCCTAGGCCTGATGGCTTAAATTTCAATTTTATTAAGAAGTTTTGGTCAGTAATTGGCAGGTCTATAGTTGATGCGGTCACTTTCTTTGAAAAAAACGGGCAGGATTTCCAGGGGATGCAACGCTTCTTTTATTGCTTTGATTCCTAAAAAAATAGATCCCTTGGATATCTAGGACTATAGGCCCATCAGTTTACTTGGTTGCATGTATAAAATAATTGCTAAGCTTCTGACCAATAGATTGGTGAAGGTTATGAGCAAGCTTGTCAGTGGCAATCAATCCGCCTACATCCCGGAAAGGCAAATGTTGGATGGTTGTTTAATAGCAAATGAAATTGTGAATCACGCCAAAAAGAAGAAAATGAAAATGTTTCTTTTCAAGGTGGATTTTGAAAAGGCTTATGATTTAGTTAACTGGAACTTTCTCTTTCACACTATGAAGCAAATGGGTTTTGAAGAGAAATGGATCAAATGGATTAGCATTTGCTTAAAATCTGCTTCTACTTCTATTTTGATAAATGGAACGCCTTCTGATGAGTTTTACATGAAGAGGGGTCTAAGGCAAGGAGATCCTCTTTCTCCGTTTCTTTTTTTGCTTGTGGGGGAAGTCTTACAGCTCATGATCAGGACTGCTTGCAATCAGGGGCTGTTCAAGGGCATCCGGCTTGCGAAGTCTAATCGGAATCTTTTTCTCCTTCAATTTGAGGATGACGCTTTAATTTTTGGAAAATGGTCTCGTAAGAATTTAGTAACTCTTACTCATATTCTTAATTGCTTTCATGATGTTTCAGGACTACACATAAATTTATCCAAATGCAATCTTTTTGGTATTGGAGTTTCGGAGGCGGAGGTCAACAATATGGCAGTTATGTTAATGTGTAAGGCCTTTTCCTTTCATTTATTTGGGGCTTCCCGTTGGTGGTAACATGAAGAAAAAAGTTTCATGGTCTGTCGTGGAAGATAAATACCTTAAAAAGCTTTCATATTGGAAGTCTCATTGCCTATCTATAGGCGAAAGATTTATTCTGATCCAGTCGGTGCTATCTTCTCTTCCGCTGTTCTACTTTTCTCTTTTCAAAGCGCACAACTCAGTTTTAAAAACTTTGGAATCTATAAGGAGAAGATTTTTTTGGGGATTTAAGGAGGATGAAAAAAAAATTACATTGGGTTGCTTGGGAGAAAATTTTGAGCTCTAAGTCAAATGGTGGTTTGGGTATCGTTAGTTTAAAAGCTAAAAATGACGCTTTGTTAGCAAAATGGGTCTGGAGGTTCCTGTCTAGTTTTAATGCGATATGGAATGATGTCATTTCTGAATTTTATGGTGAGGATGGTGGTCTTTTTTCAAATAGGCCTTTGGTTGGAAAAAGCGTATGGGTTTCTATTGTCAACACTTGTAAGAATGTGGAAGTTGCAGGTCAGAATGTTATCCACTCGTTTACGAAAAAGGTTGCTAAAGATTCTTCTTCTCTTTTTTGGAAAGATGCGAGCATCGATCAAGGCTCAAAGCTGAAAGACCTATTTCCTATACTTTATGCTATGGAAAGGAATAAAAATGCTTCTTTCAAAGAAAGATGGACTTATATTAATTGTTGTTGGATTTGGGATTGGAAAACAACAATTAGGGATATAAGCCTTAAAAAAACAACTCTCTCAAGTGGCTTTCAATACTTCAGGTGAGGATATGTGGTCTTGAAATTGGAACAAGAAAGGGATTTTCTCGGTCAACTTCTTGTCAAAATTAATTCAAGGGGCGGTTGATACAAATGTTGGAAGCAATGAACCGTGTATTTGGAATCCTTTAATTCCAAATAAGGTAAACATTTTCACTTGGCGCTTCTTTAAAGAGGCTATTCCGGTAAGATTTAATCTTTCAAAAAGAGGAATTCCATTACAATCTTTGGAGTGCATCCTATGTGGCAAAGGTGTTGAAACAATGGACCATTATTTCTTTTCTTGTTCGGTGGCAAGCATTCTATGGAGAAAAATATGGGCTTGGTGGGACCTTAAAGCCCCGCGTGTATCCTTGGTGTCTGATTTTAAAATGCTGATCAACCAAGTAGGCACTCATCGCAAGGTTGGAGTGACTTTCTTATCAGTTTGCGCTGTGGCACTTTGGCAACTTTGGAAGTGGAGGAATGAAATTTTTCATGCTGAGGATGGTGCGGAAATTAAGAAGAAAGGTGAAGACCCATTCCCTTGTGTTCAAAATTTATCCAAGCTTTGGATGGGGAACAAGAATCGTAAGTTCCATCTTAATTGGGATAGTTGGTCTTCTTCTCCTTACCATGTTTAGTCTCTTTGTCTGTCTTTGGTTTGGGTTTGCCTTGGCCTTTGTCTGGGGATGTTTCGGTTTTGTTTCTTTTTGTTCTCGCTTGTTGTGGTGGATTTTTGTATCTTCTTGTGTCTAGCTTCTTGCTGGATTTGTTGTTTAATATATTGGTTGGCTTGGTGAGGGTGATGACCATGCCGAAACTCTCTTTCTTGTCCTTCTTTTTTTGCCTTTAAAAAAAAAAGAATGTAAAGAAAGAAATAAAGAAAATATATTTTCATATTTTTAACCATCCATGGTTTCTTGATGGGCTGAATTTTGCATTCTACAACCCAAATTAAATGGGGTTGACTTATGAATTTTCTTCAGCCCAAAACATGGGCTTCAAAGTTTGAACATCTGATTTTTCCCTAGCCCCACCAAGTGTTTGTGGAAATGCGCCAATAACAAGGAGCAACCCCTCGGCAGATATTGTCCTCTGAAACTACATGGTTTACCTGATTGAGGTCACTGATGAAGAAGGTATCGCTTCTCCTAATCTGAAACGATAAATGATGATCCGATTACCATCTCCAGAGGCAACTCTCACCTTCGCCGGAAATACGGAGTTTCTTCAAGGAGGAGGAGGAGGAGGAGAAGTTGGATAACCCAGAAACCTAAACTCACGAAGGTTGGTAGACGTTTATAAAATTCAATGATACGATACAAAGTTCCCCGTATTCAGGAAAACAGTATTGAGAAGATCTGCAAGTTCGGATAATTATGCGAAAAAGAGGATGTCATGTAGGTTTATTCACAGACATCGTAATTTTCAACAATTTTCATTACTTTATATATTTGATTGCCATTTGCTTTTTAATCAATTAGATGATTTTGATTGCATAATTTCTACTTCTAATAGTTTCAATTGGGGACCAACCCTGTGATCTCACAAACTCTCTGGTTTTCACGGTTCGATTAGATTTTTGATGTCAACCTTGTGGTTTTTAGCTTCAGAAATGATGATATATAATCTCAATAGCATAAATCAAGTAGTAAATTTAACTAGAAACCAATAACACATCTCTGTCTGTGTGCATTTTTGGGTGGTGATGCCCATATGCTTAAAATGATTGGTGAGACTTTAGGGTTTGATCAACATGTTCATTGAAATTGATGTTGCTTTTTAGAAACTGTTGATTGAATATATTTTTGTGATCTTGAACATAGAAATCCCTTTCCTTTACCCTATACAATTTCTTGTCATATATGCACCAAATCATATATATGTTGAATAATCTTTGCTATATATATATATTCTGTACCTGAAAACCAATATAAACTATACATATAATCTGACAACATTCCTATTCTTCATGGGTAGGGGCCACAAAACATTCTTATGTCTTGCTAAATTTTAAATACAATTCTCCTGTTGAAATTTGCATCTTTTTGTACCTTCCCTGTTTGATTAAAAGGGGGAATCATTGTCTTTTTTTTTTAATTTTCTTTTTTTAATCAAGAAATTTGAGGATCTGGAGTAGGTGGTGTTCATAACTCAAAAGTAAACAATTGAAAAGATGAAACAGCGGAAAAACAGCTAAATTTCTGCAAAAAGATTAAAGCTAAATAACAAGAGTTGAACTTGAACTAAACTTCTCCTACTAAATGAAACTAACATTTCTTAAGGTCTAAAGTTTCATCCATGCTTTCTTTAGAGACATCTCCCTCCATAACCTGCATTTCTGAATAATATTTGCTTTATATCTTCTGAACTTGTTATCGCTCGATTTTCCTGTGCCTAAAATCCAGTTTACGTTATTACAAAAGCATATAATATCACATAAACACACACACACAGAGTGATAATATATACCTCTGAACAAGAAGCTTGAAGGGAAAAATCACTGAAAGAACTGATGACACATTGCTGAATGTCTAGGCCTAGAGCTTCAAGTGTGTTCAATGTTGAAACCAGCAACCCTGGCTTCGATGAACAGCAAATCTGGATTCGGGTATCGTTGTTTCTTCTCTCTACTTCAAACTGGAAAATTTATTCCAAGAAATTAATGTGTGTTCGCTAGGAATTGTGTGTGTTTGTATGGATGCAAATTGCAAAGAGGTAGAATAGAAGTAGCACCTTAGGGGGATTTCTTGCTTGTACTTCATTTGTTTTAGAATCTTTGAAGCTTCCCATCAAATTCAAGCTATTCAAATCTGATCCCATATCATGATCTTGAAAATTATGGATCTTTTCCAATAGATCTTTCATATACTCTATTGTATCCCCAAGTATTGATGTTCTGTCCATCTATTTTTATTCAAGAAAATTAGTGAAAAGCAAAAAAGGGAATTATTCATTATGAATGTGGAAAAAGAAGGCAAATAAATCATGGGTGTTTGCTTCTAACCTTGCTTATTCTAGGAACAATTGATCTGAGCATCGAAAGACGGTCATTCAACCTCTTTCTTCGCCGTCTTTCCGCCATTAAGTTCTTGGAAGGCTGTCCTTCAACCTTCTTAGATCTCTTCTTTTCCCCACTTCTAAAAACAACTGGGATTTGATTATCAGAAACAACCCTCTGCTGTTCTTCATGAATCTTATCATCACCATCAACATCTTCTTGAGTCACCATTGTTGGATACCCTTCTTGGACCGAAACCATTGACCTTACTTTAGCATCATTTTCATATTCATGTTCATATTCATATTCATATTCACACACTTGTTGTCCATATGATGAAGAATTTGAAACATTCCCAGGTGTGAAGCTGTCAAGATTTGGCAAAACTGCAGGGAAGTCGACTGTTTCACCTGTGTAAGAAGAGCATTGAAAACTGGGTTCTATGGAGGATGATATAAGCTGCAAAAATGAAGAAGAAGAAGAAGCTAATAATGAATCATCTTCTTCATTATAACTGGTATCCCAAAATAACCCAGGATCTACATTAGGAAATGTGGTCAAACTCTGTTTGATTGGAGTCAACAAGTCTTCAAGAAGACCTTGTGGTTGACTACTGGGGTGCTGCATCATCAAGCAAATTGGGTAAGGATTTAAGGGCATTTGAGCTATATGGTGAATATAAATAAGGTGGAAATTTGAGGATTGATCTTGTGGGAAATGGTGTGCAGGGTTTTTAAAAAGAATCTTGTGAGATGGGTGTGGGTGGTTTGACCCACAGATGTGTCTGCACCGAAAACGATGGACTTGGCTGCATAGACCTTGTCAGGCTGGTCGTACCCCCATGAGTCATCAAGCCATACAGGTAGGTATCTTTCTTTCCCTTTAAAATGTTATTATCGTTTTAAAAGTTTTTTGGATCTATTATCTATATATTTCCTTTTAGAAGGATTACTAGTGGGCCTTTAATAGGGTTAAATTCACTGCTATCTAGTAACTTTCTCTTTTAACATTAACATTTATTTTTTACATTTTCACCGTATAATTTAATCTGTCGGTTTAAATGATGGTGCATATAGCAATGCCCTTAAGACTATACAAGGGCACTGTTTTTCAAATTATTTGGTTTTGATGTTCGTTTAATTTAAGATTTAGTGTGATTTCAAATTGGATTTCATTTCAATCTCGCCTTGTTTTCAAGGAAATTCTGGAACGGAAATCCCTCAAGGATTGGATTTAGAAATCCCACGGTGTAATGCGTATTTCAGAGGATTTGGTGGATTTATTAAGTTTTGAAGTTGGATTTCATTTCAATCTCGTGTTTAGTTTAAAGAAAGTCTAGAATTGATATCTCACAAACATTAGATTTGGAAATTCCATTGTGGGTAATTAGTATTTTGGGAGATTTCATAGAATTTGTTCATGAAAATGCTTTAAATATGTTAAAAACATTCTTTATGTAATAATCAATTAATAAAAGTTAATTTAATTATGTTTACAATCATCTGTAACTAGTGTTCGATCCGCGCATTGTTCAGATATTAAAAAATGTATATTTTGTTTTACTTGTTTATTTTCTAAAATCTATTTTTAGATGGACTATATTGCAAGTTTATATGTAATATTTATAGTGATGAAATCGCGAGTTCGAAATAATTACCGTTGTCAAATTTGGTTTATAAAGATTGATTTCAAACCTATTTAATTAATATATAATGTTATGAAATATGTTGTATGATGAAAATTCTTAATAACAATCATAGTTTAATTATCTGCTACTTAAGTTACTATTAAATGATATATTTTAAAACAAATGGATACAAAATATGACATAAAGTTGACAAATAAATCAAACCACATGCATGGTAAAAGTTATAATTCCAAAATACTATAAGGTTACTTATTACCAATGCATTGATTTACGACTACAACAAACATGTACATCTTATATTAGCAGCTCCTCTTTTTGAATGCACGTATAACAACCATAAGCAAAATAATGTTTTCGATCGAGAAGAAACACACACATATACAGGCATCAACAATATACAACTTACAAAAGCATAAAGTGTTACCGAATTTATGGAGGAAGAACATCAATACCGATGAAAAAGAAATTCTACAAAAGTGAAATAATACAAAAAAAAAAAAAACTAAATAAACTCATTTAAACATAAAATAGAACTAAAGGTTGTTAAATCCATTTTGATAGAGTATTTCATTGTAATTTATCATTAAATAAATTATAAAAGATATAGTGAAAAATAGATGAAAGGTTTAAAAAATATAAATATAAAACCAATGAAAACCAAAAGGTTTGATGCATTCATGACTTAATAAATGAGATCCACCAAAATAAATAAATCACATTATAAAGTCATTAAATAAATTAAAAAATATTTAAAATCTAAAAATTTAAGAAAAAAAGGATTTGAAGAATATTTTTTCTACATTGCGTCACCTAAGCAACTCCACATTTTGCGCTTATATATATATATATATATATATATATATATATTTTTTTTTGATGATATTACATTACTAAGTAATAAAAATAAAAATTATAATCCTATAAATTTAATTAATGGATTCATCAAATAAAATATTTGATTTCATTAAAAAAAATGTAAAGACAAATAAAAATTATATTTGTTGATGTATTTATATTGTGTAAATAAAAATCATATAAAATGATAAAGAATACGAGAGATTAAATGAAAAGTTAAAACTCATTTTATCAGAATCTTTTAATCTAACAAAGAAATTCAAAATTATGAGAAAATAGAAAAAGGTGAATGAAGATTTCTCATTGTGCCACCTAAGCAACTCCAAATTTCGCTTTTATATATGGATATAGATTTTTTTTATAAATTATCTATTAAATGGAATTCAATTTCACTCTAAATTTTACAAACAAAAAACATAAAAATATTTCAAAATTTTCAACAAAATTCAAAACCTTAAAGAATGTTCCATCAAACCAAACCAAACGAACTCTTTGAATTTGAATTTGAAGAGTGTTTATTATAAGTTGATACAGACATCCATACTTAGTTTGAATCAGTCTACGGAGTGTTTTACAAATGGTAACCAAGTAAATGCTTACTGAGTAAGATATACTACTTTCATTTACATTATTGGGTAAGATCGTCAGTCATCAAAATGGCATGGTGAGATTGTGGGTAAGCATGTCTTACACGGTAAACGTTAACCGGCTAAGAGTCACCATCCTCACTTAATAGGTAAGATTATCGGTTTTTATCATGCTACATCATTCAAGACTTACAACGACTCCTGGTAATATAATCAAGGGTGGTGACTCTTAACTCGTAAACACTTACTCCATTCGCATTAGTAAACGACCCAACAGTTTATGCACCATTTCTCCAAAATGGAGAAAAAAGGTGAATATCTCCAAAAAAAAATTATATCTGATATCGAAAACTCATTATTTGTCCTTGTGATTCTATAATTAATGCCCAAAACTATGGAATCTTGTTACGTTAGTACCTATGATTGTACGAACTCATGAACCATTGGTCGAGCCTCAGATGAAAGAGGGTGTGAATTGAGTGGTTTGAAAACGTCGTATGTTCAATTTAGGTAGAGCCATTTATTTGTCAATTTCAATATGTACTTATTTGTTTGTATGTAATTAATGGCTATGTCTTTTTTAGAATTTGAAAAACCGTGATAAACATTACAGTAAACTACAAATTTGGTCTCTGTTTTTTTGTCGAAAATAACACTTTTTGTACCTATAGTTTTCAAATTACAAGATCATCATCGTGGTTTGCTAAATTGTCCAAATTTGGTCTCTTTCTCTAACGGCTGTTAAAAATTCCGTTAAATGGGGTATTTTTCGTTTTTTTATCGATTATTTTTGTCTTGTAACCCATCAAAATTGATTTTGTGATTTGGTTCATGTGGGTTTTGATTGAGTAAATGAAAAAAAATCGTCAAAAAAGATGAAAAAAAGCATCATATAGAAAGGAATTTTTACGGCTAATAAAAGGAATGATCAAATTCGGATGTTTTTGCAAACCATGATGGTCATCTTGTAATTTGAAATTATAGGGAGAAAAAGTGTTATTTTTGACAAACTAAAGGGACGAAATTTACAGTTTACTCAAAAATTTCTCTCTTACATAAGGTTTATCTTTTTCATCTTAACAAATTAACCCAAAAAAATATGATAAATTCTAATAAAAAATAATAATAAATAAATAAAATTCAAATTTGAAACTATGATGTGTTGTCATATATTTCTACCCTTTTATCGAGAAAAATTTGGTTCTAGTTATATTGTATTAGAAGGGTATTCGTGTAATGCAGTGAGATAAATTTCGATTTTAATGTTTAGTTTTATTATTTGTCTCTATCGATATAATATGATTTTATGTGGTTTTGAGAAAACAATAATGTTTTTTGAATGAAAATATAAATTTGAAGATAACATAAAAATTTGAAAAAAAAAACAAATCGATATTATTAGTATCAAATTAACTATTTAGTAGTTATTGTTTTTTTGGTGTAACTTCTTTAATTCAATTTTTATTAGTAATTTATTTTTGATTTAACAATATAATTTTTTATAAAAAATAATAATTAAACATTTTGTTAGAACTTAATGATTATCTTAATTATATCTTATATTTCTATATTTAAAATGAAAGTTTATCCTGTATTTGATTATGTTTATCTGCAGTTAATTACACGTATTCAAAAATGAAGCTTTAATAAGTTGTACCTGCGTAAAATTATTTATAATCTTGAATTTTAAGTAATATGCATCAATTAACAGTACTTCATGTATAAAAAATGGTTTTTAAGAATTTTTATCAAATGCTTTATAATATAATATAAATAGGCACAATTAAATAATGAAATGTGTTTTTCATTCCTTAGTGATTCTTCAATTTCTAAAACGGACCATACAATGTTATGTAAGATATTTTATCTGTTAATATTATGGACGAATTAAAATACAATTAAACGAGTCAAAAATTATCAAAAATAAATAACATTTAAATTATCACAAAAAATATTAATTAGAATTTCTAAAATTAATTAAAAATCAAATTCATTGGGGGCTTTCATCCTTTTTTGTAACATAACACCCCATTGTTCCTTTTTCTAATGCTATTGGGGTTATATATTTGTTATAAATGTTTACCATTTCTCAATTAATCATTCGATACATATTAGAATATTTAATCATGCATTCCAATTATTTTTTCGAATTTGTGAATCGATATTTCAATCATAAAGACATTTAATAGGTTAATTTGGTGTATTCGACAAAAAAGTTGATTACCAGTAACAACCCCAACCGTTCCCCTCATATAAAACCCATCTGTAACGATAAGTCGGCTTTTTTGCTTTACTTAACAGCTGAGGCTAGTGCGCAAGAGAGGGGTTCGGAATCAAACTCGAGATCTGTTTTGTATTTGAAAAAAACCAACTCGCGCCGGTGTATTATAAAAATTGGTTTGAATTTGTATCTACAAATAAAAAAGGGTTTTATCTAAGTTTTTCAATTTTATAATGGAAGGAGTAGGAGTACGTAGGCATGGTAATAGGGCGGGACCCCAATCCTTGGTCGCGTCATCGGTCTCCCATCTTTATTCCTGTTTTCGTCTCCATTCATGTTGGGCAATTTGATCACATCCCTATTCTTGTCCCCCAACAGGGAATGGGATCCCCAACGTGAAAACGGGTTTTTTCCTTTCGTTTGTGTAAGTTTTTAAAAAAAAAATCAAATGTATGCGTCATACATGTTTAAATATCATATATTCCCAGTAAATCTAAAATAAAAGGGAATTTAAGTTAATACCAAAAATATAGATAATCAATAAATCGAAAACCAAAAAAAACTAAATGTCATCCAAAAAAAAAATAACGTTATATGTACCAAAACATATTGATTAATATCCAAAATATATTGAAATAGAAATAATTAATATATAATTAATTTATTAATTAATATATACCGGTAAGGGGCGGGGAGAGGCAGGGAGTGCGACCCATCCCCAGTTTGAGCCAAACGAGGATCCCTGTTCCCAAATCCCGGTTTAATGGGAATCCCTGTCTCCGATCGGGATGGGTGGACTAGGTTTCCTAACGGGTCGGGGACAATCCCATTGCTAGAAATACATTTAATCGGAAAATCTTTTAAAATTCTGTTTTTAACCATTTTTATACCTTATTTCGATTTTTAACCATTTATTATGAATGTGTTATGTATAAGTACTACGCAAATGTGTAAGGTTTGCTTTTTTAGTCAAATGCGTTATTGAAAAAGTTATGCATAAATTAAAAGTTACGCATAAGCCTATTTTTTAATACAAAAAGTTACGTATATGCATAGAGATTTTTTTGTCCTTTTTTCAGAAAAGCAAATCTTAGGCATATGCCTAATGTTTTTTTTTAAGTATATAATATTTATATACGAAAAATGCAACAAATAAACTCATACACCCTTCTCACCTAATGTGAGGTTTGAACCCCTGACCTCCTAGAAGGCCAAGGGTTACAATACCGCTAGGCGAAAGGCCCTTTGGTAACATATGCCTAATGTTTATGCTTAAAAAATGGTTAAAAGTCGAAATGAGATACAAAAATGGCTAAAAATGGAACTCCTTAATGAGATTGACAACAATTTTAGTCAATTTCCCATGTTTTGATATGGCTTGCAAGGGGATTGTTATTCGTACCCCATCGCTCAAACGTTGTTCACATTTTATAATCGTTTTCACTGAAGCAATTCACATTTCATATCCGTTGTTTACTCATATACAACTCATATAATGTAACAGCCGCGATGCGGGTGTGTCACTCGTCCCACATCGGTTGGGAAGGAGAACGAAGCACTCCTTATAAGGGTGTGGATACCTTCTCTAGTAAGACGCGTTTTGGGTGGGATACGAGCTTCGGTTCATGCCCATGCCAGGAGAAAACCGTGCGGCTACTGCTTTGTGGTATAGCGGGCAGGTTAGCCAAAGCGGACAATATCTTGCTACGGGGTTCTGGGGGCGTTACAAATGGTATCAGAGCCAGACCCGGACCGATTGTGGCCCAACGAGGACGTTGTGTCCTAACGGGGG